AATCAGATCCAAAGCAAGAAGAATATTGACTATGAGAGATTTACTGCCAAATGAACTTATACAGAATTGTTATGTAGTATCTACCTTGTATACTTTTATAAATTTACTAACCTCATAATTAAAATATAAGCTCTTTTCTGCTTTACCACTTTTTGAAATGTCATATAGGCTGACTGTTGTCATCATCATGATCATATAATGCAGGTGCTCAGTTTCAACTTTTATGAAGATGAATTGCAGAAATATTTGAACAGATGAGTTATGATACTAAAGAACATTGCATTGCAGGTGCCTATTTATATTATAAATATTATTCTAAACAGACTGTTAATCTTCAAAAGGTTATTAATCCTTGAATACCGTTTGAAATTTCAGTTAATGTGTGTTAGTGCATGCATGTATTTCTCACAGGAAATAAGTGGTAAAATGAAATAATTCCACTTCTTTGCACAAATTTTAGCAGTAAAAGTTGGATACAAAAAATGTATTTTGCTGTTTCTTAAGCATGCAATAAAGATTTTAACAGTCTGATGGAAAACTGTGTAACAATTCTCATGTTTCCATTTTGTGAAAAAAAGCTTTTATAGAGTCTTATGCAAGACATGAATAGCCAAGTTATTATGCAGTGGAAGAACTACTTAAGATTTAGTTTCATTTTAGTTATAAAAGATCCGAGTCATAACATAAGAAAAAAATAACCAGTCCATGACAAAAAATGTGTGAATTTAAATCTGTCTCATCACATTCAGTTTCTGTTATATACTTTTTAAAGTAATCATTTTAAAAGTAGAGGTTTGAATTAGGGAAATAAGCATAAGAGATGTGGTATAGGGAGAGGCTGAAGGAACTGACACTTTTGTGACACTAATTAAAATGAGAAAATTATGTTCTGCATTCACCTTATTTCAGAAATATACTGGAATATACAATAAAAATAATTGATGTAAAATATTTTAACTATGCACATATGAGAATAATGAAAGGAGTTATCAGAAAAGTTTTATTCAAGCTCAGGAATTTATTGAAATAAATATTATCTATGGTGCTAAAGAGTCACAATAAACAGAGACAGAGCATATAAAAAAATAGCTTTTTACATATGTGCATATATGTCATCTTAACATATGGAATGTGCATAGTATATCGAATCTACAGCAAAGTATAAAACAAGGTATCAGGAAATTAAAATTTTGATATTAAATACTTTTGCAATATGTATGCTTCTTTTATTAACTATTTTATCATGCCAAATTACCGACTGTAAAATATTCTTTTGTAAAAGAACACATTTAAAAATAAACTCATAGCACATAAACTGCATTGTTAGAATTGATTATTAGTGGACTAATCATTATCTGTATGACTTTTAAGTTGGAATTTAATCTTCACCTTTCTCTAACTTTATTCAGTTTGAATTTCTATTTCAATTTCCTTGTCATGTTTTCCTTCAACATTGATTGAAAAGAATAACTTGTTGTGAAAAGTCTACAGAGATAATCATAATCTGCTTGACTGTACAATAAAGAACATTTGCCATCCAGTGCTGGATAAAGCCATACCAATTTTTATTTCACAAGCTCAGATATTCATTGTATTCTACTGCATGCATTCCTCCTAAATATTCAAAGTGTTTCATGTTTGCATTACTCATATTGAACAGAGTTCATTCTGAAATGTAATTTAGATTGAAGATTTCTAGATTATAGCTCAAATCTGTATCACTCTATTAGACAGTCTTATTACACAACTAATTTCTAAACTCCTTCACTATTCTATAGTTCTATAAAGCTCTTCTACAGTGTTTTAAAAACTTCATTGTGTCTGCAGTTTAATTCCAACTGCAATCAGAAAGATTATCATTAGAAAATCATTTAGTTTGTTATCTGAATGTATTCTATTAACTCTAAATTATAACAAAGTTTGATAGAGTAAAAAGAAAATATTTCAGTCTTTGCTAAATAATTTTGAAAAGGCAGAGTGAATATCTTTATGCCTGAAAGTAAACTTTTTGATATGTACAAAATGGCATCTGATGTGGTATTTATATATTAGCTCAGTTATAATTATGTAAATTATAAAATATAAAATGAATGAGATAAATTTATTTTATTATTTTGTTTTTGTGTTCTTTGCCTCTAGATTTACCAGTTAAAAGAGATATTTCTGAAGCTTCAGCACTGCTATCTAGTCATGAGATCCAGAATTCAGGCCCAAAGACAAATATACCAATTCACACATCAAACTAAATAATGACCCATACAATGGAATTTTTGAGGTTCTTTGGCTTGCATTTAGTCTAAAAGAAACAATTATAATTTTATTTCCCTCATATTTAAATAAATTCAAATTGATTTATTTCTTCAAATTGATGCCCTTCTCAATAGCCATTATATCAAATTTATTTTTCTAAATGTATTACATACTTTGATTAGGGTCCACCCGGTTTTATGAGTGAATGTTTTAAATAACTAAATAAATGCATTTTCAGATCTTATTCCAAATTATTATCTTATGCCAAGTACTTGTGCTATATTTTTATCTCCTCCATGTGCCTACAAGACAGATTCATATATCACCAAGAGATCTTTCTTGGTCTCTCCTCTTAACCCTCTAATTTCAAAATACTATGTTAAACGTGTTAATGATGCCTTTCTTGTTATATTATTTTCCCCCTCCTCACCTATGATACAGGTGGCAGGGCTCTTGATTTTTTGTTCATTCCCCAACTCTACTACCATTGATAACAATATCTTATTTGGTTATCAGTTTGTATGTGAAACCTCTTTTGCCCTTGTTTATTCCTTTCTAACTTTCTACACCTAAATTCTCTTCCTCAGGTTGCAAGCCTTGGTCTTTTTTCTCCTCCCGCTCTTCATACTTTTTTAAATTCTCCCATACCACCCTGACGTGAGTCCTTCCTAAGGCCCTTTTTCTCATCTTCCTGTAAGCCCAGAATCAACTAGTACAATCACTTAAATATATTTACTACTGCTCTTACACAGCAGTCTCTTTCTTTCTGTAGACTGAATTCAGACCTAGACTGATGTCTTCCTGGGCAACTTCTCCCACACATTACCAAGTAGGCAGTTGCTATTAAGCTAGGAGGTTCTTCTTGGTATCTTTTCTTTTGTCCAAGGTACCTTCTCAAGTGCTAACACTGCTGAATACATGAAAATATGTTTTTGGTTTGTTTGTTTCTATTTTATTCACCTTCTGGCTAGCTCGTATAATAACAACCAGACAGTCATTCTCATCTATCAGTATTTTATTATTTTTGGACATGTAACAAAAAATGTATAAGTCTAGTCCACTGAAGACAATATCATGATTCCCTGACCCAACTCTGAAACTCATCATTTTGTGCATGACCTTAGCCTGCAACATCCCAACAGACTTGGGGAATCATTATTCTACAGCCCAGGAAGTTGCTTGTCCTCAGGAAGGATGAAAAAGCTAAAGATAGCAAATTGCCACCATGCCCTAAGGATTACCAGTGTCCTTGTATCTAATGCAATTTTAAAGTTTAGCTGCTGCTGCCTTCCAAAAGCTGAACAGAGCGATTTTATTTATTTATTATTTTATTTATTTATTTTTATCTTGTCAACTAACCCCCTCTAGTGCTGAACAGGCTGCATTTGACCTGCAGGCTGCTCACAGCTTCCAAGCTGGACTAGCTTCTTTCTTCTGTCTCCTGCTCTCCAAGAGCGATCCACCAGTCTTTCACCTCTTCTCAAAAGAACAACTGACCAGGTGAAAAAAAAACACCCTCCGACCTCTTTTCTGCCTTGCTTCTCTTGCTTCTCTTGCTTCTTTCCCTCCACCCCTCCCCAAACCTTTAAAGATCCAGTGCAAATGTAATTTCTCCTCCCACCCTTCTTTTGGCAGGGAAGAAAAGAGAATCAGGGATTTTCTGCAGCAAACAGTGGCTGCTGCCTCCAAGGGTTGCCGGCTCAGAAAACCTCAGCAGCCCTCCTGCCGCTTCGGACGCCAGGTAGCATATTGATCCTGCTCCTCTGGAGTGCCTCCGAAGGGCTGCTTGGCTTCAAATACACTGGCACGCACAGTCCACCAGAAAAGAAAAGGTGGGGAGGAAGGACTCGTTCAGTCCCAAGCAAAACCCGATGGGGAAAAAACGGAGATGTCAGTAGGCGGGAGGAAGGAAAGCAGCCCAACTGAGTCTGATTTGCGAGTGCTTGGCGTCAAGGAGCCTCCGTCCCAGCCAAGGGGAGTCCGTCGCGGCGGCTGGGAAAGCCTGCTTGGCAAGTTTTCTTGACGGCTCGGGAGAAGCGGGGAGCTGTCCAGCGTTTCAGCACCTTCTAGTCAGCGACTGGCGCAGCTTTCGTGGGCGAAAAAAAAACCTTCCTGGCTCGGGGCGGAAATTATTCCTTGTCCCGGCGCGGTCCCTTATGGTCAAGCGCGAGGATGGGCAATCAACCAAAGGGGTGGAGAGGTTGCTCCCCAGGCGGTGGCTGCGGTCGTTCGGGGGGTCGTCAGTGAAACGATTGCTGATGATGATGAGAAGCTGAAAAGGAAGCAAAACGGAAGAAGGCAGCCAGGTGGGCGACACCAGTCACCAGTCTGAGTATCCTTCTTCCCCCCCCCCACACACACACAGACACACACACACACACAGACACACACACACACACACACACACACACACACACACACACACACACACACAGCATCCGAACGAGGAAAGTTTTCCAGATAAACTGTTTGCCTTTCAATTCTTACAGGCTCAACGATGTCCTTTGCCCTCCAGTTACTGTTTTAGAGGAGAAGGAAGCTCCTCTCAGGGCAAATTCTTTCCACCCCCTTCACCCCCCCCCCCAATGCTATTTCTTCAGCTTTGGCAACAACTGTGAACCTGATTCTTCCTTCCCTCAGAGCTTCCACACTGGACAGGCAAAGAACTTGACACCCTCAGTCCCGGTGTGGGACCAGGAGAAAGGTCTGAGGTCCCAGCCATGGATAGCAGTGAAATGAGGGTCTGCCTTTGGAATTTTAACCTGTTCTTTCCTTTGGTGCTGCTGCTGGTCTGCCTGGGAGGCTGCAGTCGTGTTTCCAGCAACCAAGGTAAAAGAGAGGAGGAAGAGAGGGAGAGGGGATTGTTGGGAGTGGGAGGGCTAATGGCTGGAATAGTAAAGAATATTATTTAATGCAAAAAAAAAAGCTTCTGTAAATCTGCAAAGTAGCTGCTGGGGAAGACAATTCCCATAGGCATGAAAGGATCATTTGTTCCTTTCATGGGTTAATGGAATGGTTGCTCTGTCTCATCTGGCAGTGTCAATTGATTTGTCCCACTTAAGTGACAGATGGAGGGGAAAACATTCTCGTGCATGGTAGAAAGGAAGTTAAGTTTCTACATTAATTCAAAGCTTCCTCAGGCCCAGGCCAAGCCAATGATGCTATTCCACTGATTAAACTCAATGAAGCTTTGAAAGAAATGTCCTCTCCATTTTAGCTTAACTAAATATTCTTGGTTTTCTCAGATAAGCCCTGGTAAACAAAGCAAGAATATAGACTTTGAGTTTACACTTCTGGATCAAAGCATGTGTTTCTTTTTGCACCTAGTTGTCATAGATGAATGAATAGAGTTTTAAAACTTAAAATAAGGGGGCAAATGTGCTTTAAGTAGGATAATCTGAATGTAACCTGAATGACAGTTCCTATACTCATTTTTTTTTCCTTAATCATGAAATCAAGGAAAACTATTTTTCATTGGATTGTTTTATTAAGCTTATTTTGACTTTTGTGTCAAAAGGGCCTGCCTCCAGAAGTTGTGGGTTCTCCATCACTTGAGGTTTTTAAGAAGAAATTGGACAACCATTTGTCTGAAGTAGTATAGGGTCTCCTGCTTGAGCAGAGAGTTGGACTAGAATACCTCCAAGGTCTCTTCCAACTCTGTTCTGTGTTTGTTTTTTTTTTTGGTGAGGTAATTGTATAGTTTTATTAAGGAAGGATTGAGGGCAATAGAAGAATGAGGTGGCGACAGAGAATGAGATGGCTGGATGGAGTCATTGAAGCAGTAGGTGTGAGCTTAAATGGACTCCAGAAGATGGTAGAGGACAGGAAGGCCTGGAGAAATGTTGTCCATGGGGTCGCGATGGGTCAGACATGACTTCGCAATTAATAACAACAACAACAATTGTTGTCTATGTAGAAACATGTAGAAACATTTCTCAGGGCTTCTGAGGCCTTCCTAGAGTCTGAAGCTCTAAAGCCCCTGAGCCAGAATTTGGCCTTAGCTTTCTATAGCAAAGCTGTCACAGATGTAATCATTTGAAAATAATAATATAAATATATAGAGTACTATTTAAATAACACTATATAAAAATGCAAGGTTTTCTTTCTTCTTTGTGTTCACATTACATCTGCAAAGAGAAATTAAGGCATAGAGATAATGTTTTATGATCCAATAGTCTATCTAAAACACCTCTGGGTCTCCAAATCTGTTCAGATGAAAGCTTAAAGGATCATCTCTGCTGGCTGAGTACAATAGAACAGCACTTGGGAGATCTGGGCAAATCAAAAGCTTATCTTTTGCTTTACCTGCATAATCATTTTAATAAGTAGTGTCCTTGGACTCATTCTTGACCCTGCTTTTCTTCTTTGGGGAATATCATGGTAACTAATCTTGTTACTACTTAATGATCTGTGGACACTTATGCTGATAGGAAAACCACAGAATGTCAACAAATGAACTATTATTGATTTGTTCAAGTGCAAAATTCTATTCCTGTAGGAAATTAAATATGCGTACATTCATATATGTGTCTAATGTTCAAAATAATATGTAGCCATGTATTAGTAAAACCTTTTTACTTGGCTATGAATGAGATTGCTTTTAAGCAAACAAATAGCTAATATAAAAGAAATTATCAATCTCTAATCCTGCAATTAAAGCTGAAGGCAGTTTATTTTTTTTAATTCAAAGATTGTTTATAGATTTTGTAATTTATTAGCCAGAATTATTCTGGACAAAAGATCAGACTTTCATACTATGGAAGAGTTTAATACATTTTTGGTATCAGATTTCCTTTTGTTAGAAATAGATTGTCCTTATAAATTAATTCAATCTTCACACTGAAAATCTAGTTTACAAAGTGTAGTGACTAGTGCCACCTTTGAGTCCTTATGTTCCAAACAAAAAACACTGATTCAATTTATCTGTATTTTACTATCCATGTATGATTCCCATGTTGTTATGCTTAGCTTAATTACAGAGAGGCACAATTATTCACTAGCCACTGCCTGATCTGCAGAGTTCTTGCTTTAAATGCATGACATCTCCTAAGCTTTTCAAGCAATTCCTCTACTACACCTATGGGTATGAGTATGTGTTTCATTTGTGTTTATATAAAGTGAGAAGAGATAATGATATGGTGGAATTTATATTTTATGTGCAATTGAAAATGATAGTACAATAAAAATGGAGAGACAGGGAGAGGGAAACAGAGAGAGATGAATAAATTCTATTATTTTGAGTGTCTTTCCATTTTAGGGTTTTGAGGATGACATCTTTTAGTTAAGCTAAATTTTTATACCTTTTGTCTTCATACTAGATGCAAGAGATATATACACACATATATATATGCATATAGTACATACATACCTGTGTATGTCCTAGGTGATGTGTTTTTCCAACTTCAGATTTAGTTCCTTCATATTTATGCTTACCAACATATTCAGCATAAAACTATCTAATCAGAATTAATTTTGTCTGCATTTGCATAAGTACATAAATAAAAATATAAGATTTCATTCCAGATGTCAGATAGAATTTCATAAGTAATTGACGTGGCTTAACTTCTTTCTTTGTCTCATGGCTAAGAAGCACAACAAAAAGCATTTTCAGAAATAATACAGAAATGTAACTGTAAAATTACTAGTAAGCAGATTTTTTTGAACGCTAAGATCTGCAGCCATCTATGTTGTCTTCAAAAATAGTCTTATCGTTTTCTTACTCTATAGATTTATCAACAATTGCAATTAAAATAAAATGACACCCTTAAACTACAAGCAATATGCCATAGCAGCATATAAAATATATTGATATCTTGATTAAATTGTTTTAAACAAATTCATTCTACATTGTAAAACACCTCATATGGCTAATTTTAACTATCAGATCTATAGAGCTTTCTCCTAGATACTTTATTGCTAGGCTTCATCTTAGGCTACTAGAGGAAAATGGTTACCATTTCCCTTTATCTTCACCCAATATTGTTTTGCTAATAGCTATGTACAGTAAAATGAATTGTGTGGTTGTTTTTATATAAGTAATAACCATTTTTCATGGTCCAGTTTTCATGATATTATTCTGTCTGCTGACTCTTTTGCATTCAGAAGAACCATTCAGGCATTACAAATCTAGCATGCTCATGACAAGAGAAGTTCAGGTGACTCACTACTATCTAGGTAAGTATTCAATGGTATCGGCTCCTCCAAAGGTGTTCACCATTGAGCCATGTTAATTACCCCATGAGTCAGGACCATAATACAAACTTTTGTTTATCAAATGTTAATTCTGCAAATGCATATGCTGAAGAAAAGCTGATTTCACTGAATAATATTGTGAGGACAGGGCTTAATCTGATATCATTTAATGGGGATGAAGTTTAATCCAATTGCTAGAAGATGAAGTTGCAGACAAATAGAAACTGTTCTTCAAGTCCTTTGAGGTGAAAGCTTGGTAATTCAAGCAACAACCATATAATCTACCACAGCAAGCACTTATGTCTTCTGACTATGAAAGATTGCTGGAACTCCAAAATTTCTCGACTGTGAGTAAGCAATTGATGGCCTTCAGGAACTGCTATTTGATTTAGAAGCTTACCCTCCTTACATATTTAACTAGTACTTTTACTTATTGCTAAAAAGTATTCCTTTTTAATCATGTATTATATAGATAACCCCCAAGTTCTTTTAATTTCATACTTTGAGTTAGTAAACCATATTGCTATCATGACTTGAGCTTTCATCTACACAAATATTGAGGAAAAACTCTCTATTGACCTCACTGAGATTGGCTTAAATAAAATCACCACTATACAACAAAGTCTACTTTCAAACATATTTCAGTGACTGCATTGAAACTAATTATATTACAATAAGAATTGTATCAATAATAAGTGTTCTGGATAGCATAAAACCTGAAAGGAGCTTACTTCATCAAGCAAATATATGTCCATGTATGGAAGAAATTTAGTATCAGATTGACTCAGGCTGAAATTCTAAAGAAACTGGCTATCAGGTTGGAAGTGACTGGTCTATTAATTGTATACAGGTAGTCCTCCATTAACAAAAGTTCATTGAGTGACCAGTCAAAATTACAACGGCACTGAAGAAAGTGACATGATCATTTTTCACACTAATGACCACTGCAGGCTCCTCATGGTCATGATCAAAATTCAAATGCCTGGCAATTGACTTATATTTATGACAGTATCCTGGGCTCATATGATCACTTTTTGTAATCTTCTGACAAGCAAAGTCAATGGGGAAGCCATATTCATTTAAAGCCATGTTACTAACTTAACAATTGCAATGATTCACTCAACAACTGTGGCAAGAAAGTTGTAAAATGGGGCAAAAGTCACTTAACATATGTCTCACTTAGCAACAAAAATTTGGACTCAATTGTGGTTGTAAGTTGAGGACTACTGTAGTATTCTTTTTTTCTTATTAAATAAAATTAATTTCATTTTCATTAAATAAATGAAAGAAAATAAGCTAAATTAGATCAATGATAGTCTAATATTTTTATTGGCCTGATGGCACAGTAGATGCTTAAAGCATATTTGACATGAAACTTTCCCCATTCCACCTTTAGAAAAATCTAATCATGTTCCTAAGAAAAATTATGGTACACTTCTCTCAGTATTAGAACTCTACGTCCATTCTTGAGATTTTCAGTGATCTCTAGGATTCAGCCTTTGAGGCAATAGGATGTCAGTCTTGACCCTACATGACTGGTTTAATAAATGTAGGGGCATAGTTAATAAATAATTAAATTAACAGCTCTTCAAAGTTCTATGCTGTTCCTTTGAGGAACAGAAGAAATCTGTAAATAT